TTAATACCAAGGGGGAATGGTTAGATCCTGTTGTCAGAGATGGTCATTGCCTGGCACTTTTATGGCGCAAGCCTAGATATTGTTCAGTTCTTGTTGCATTTGGACATGGACTGCTTCAGTATCTGAGGAGTCACGAATGGTGCTGAACATTGTGCAATCAGCAGCGAACATCCCCACTTCTGACCTGGAGGATGAAGCAACTGAAGATGTTTGGGCCAAGCACACTACTCTGAGGAACTTTATCAGTCATGTCCTGGACTCAGAAGACTGACAACCACAACGATTTGTGCCAGGATGTCTACAACCAGCAGAGATTTTCTCCTGACTCCTATTAAGACTTGTATTGCTAGAACTCCTTGTTGCCATGCTTGGACAAATGTGGCCTTGATGTTAAGGGCTGTCACTCTCACCTCACCTCACCTCTGGAATTGTGCTGTTTTGTCCATGGTTGGACCAAGGCTGTAATGAGGTCAGGAGCGGAGTGGCCCTGGCAGAACCCAAACTGGGCGGTTCTGAGCAGGTTCTTGCTGAGCAGGTGTTGCTTGATAGCGCTGTTGGTGACACCTTCCATCACTTTACTGATGATCGAGAACAGACTGATGGGTGATAATTAATGGGGTGAGATTCGACTTGCATTTTGTACACAGCACATACTTGGCCAATTTCCAATACTGCTGGGTAGATATCACTGTTGCAGCTATACTGGAGCAGCTTGTGTCTAAGGGCACAGCAGGTTCTGGAGCACAATTCTTCAGTACTTTTGCTGGAATGTTGTCAGTGTCCATAACATTTGTAACATCCAGTCTTTTTAAGCTGTTCTGTGGCAGCACATGGAGTGAATTGAATTGGCTAAAGCCTGGTATCTGTGATGCTGGAGACTCTGGAGGAGCCCGAGGTAGATCATCCACACAGCACTTCTGGCTGAAAATTGCTGCAAATGCTTCAGCCTTATCTTTTGCACCAACGCCCCTGTGCTTGCCCATCTGTAAAGATGGAATTATTTGTGCCACCTCCAGTGAGTTGTCTAATTGTCCATCAGGATTCCTGACTGATATAAAATATTGTTTTCATAACACTTTACAATTTCTTTGAAATGTTTCTACTTGTTTTGTTGTTACAGCAAATTACCTTTTGTGTACAGCAACAATTAGTTGGGCAACCACATTACAATAGTGATTCTGCACATGCAACAGTCCTCAAGAGTCAATGATATAAGTGGATGATTACTCTATTTGTTACAGCACTGTTAGCTGGCATTGGTTAAGGCATACATTTTGTCCAAAGTTGTGGAAAAACTTCAAGCACGTCTTTGGGTAGCACCATGGAATCTTTAACATTCAATTTCCCAAGAAAGGCTGCAGGGATGAGAAATATCAGTTGTGAGAATACATTGAATTAGCTGGCATGGTTCTCCTTGGAAAAAACACTTAAGAGGAGATGTGATAGATGTTTTCAAAATCATGAGTGGGCTTGATAGAGTAGATAGGTTATAGTTCAACAGGATTATTTAAAATGACAAGCTTTCAGAGGCTCACTTCACCTGACAAAGGGGCTATGCTCCAAAAGCTCGTGATTTCAAATAAACCTGTTGGACTATGACCTGGTATTGTGTGACTTCTGATTTAGTCCACCCCAGTCCAACACAGGCACCTCCACATCATGACTTGTGAAAGGAACAAGAATATTTAAAGCGATGTATAAAAGAATCAAGGATGATTGTGAGAAAAGAAACTTTTTCCATGCAGCGAGTAGTTTGGGTGTGGAATGCACTGCCTTGAGTGTGCTGGAGGCAGGTTCAGCTGAGGGATTCAAGAGGGCATTGGATAAAAACATTGTGCGAGGGTAATGGGGAAAAACGAAGCACTTAGGGTGATGATGCTCATTTGAAGAACTGGTGCAGATATGATGGGCTGAATGGCCCCTTCTGCACAGTAAAACTTCTGTGATTCTAAAGCAAGAACCTTGATAACAACTCTTAACATCTCAATATCTGAATGTGGGTACTCCTAACAAGACAGCACCACCTCAATACAACTTTTGAATGTCTATCTAGAATAGGGTTGAGTATTGAACAATGCCACCAAGACGATTTGTATCAACATCCATCAATCATTTTTTATTGCTGCTTTTGTTAAAACTTCTGTTTGGTCTCCCTTTCTTTGATACCTCAATGTGCTTGTTTATCTATTTTTCTGATCTCAGCTGCTTGGATTGTTTTTCCCACATTAAATATAGTACATTATGCAAGTTAAGAGATAACAAGGTGTAGAGCTGGATGAACACAGCAGGCCAAGCAGCATCAGAGGAGCAGGAAGGCTGACATTTCTTCAGAAGGGTCTAGGCCCGAAACGTCAGCCTTCCTGGTCCTCTGATGCTGCTTGGCCTGCTGTGTTCATCCAGTTCTACACCTCGTTATCTCAGATTCTCCAGCATCTACAGTTCCTACTATCTCTGAAACATTATGCAAGTTGTCTGCTCGCAGTGGTGCATCACATTGCAATGCTGCTTTTTATCTATAAAGCAGGCTCGAACGATTCATCTTTTACCCACAACAGCTATGGCTACTCGTGTTGTTTATGGATCCCAGAGCACTCAGTGTTACCTTTAAGATTACGCATTTGTGTGATAAAACATGGGCAGATGCTTCCCTTCTATTTATGATAAAATCTTCATTCCCTTTTGGTGACAAAATCAAGTTAACTTACTACCACAGCATCCCCAACATGGACAATTATTTTGTCCCACTTCAATTTTTTAAAAATCATGAATGTTGCCAATAGCAGACGTTCATTGTTTCATAAACAGTAATTCTAAAATGTTTCCATGCATTTTTTTCTGTGCACACACATGCAACGTGGGTAGGTTTCCCACAGTGATATCCCTCTTCAGAGCACACAGTTACTTATTTCCCACAATCCAAAGGGAGCTGTCGCCAATCCAGTTCCTGCAGAGGCACAGAGGGCATCAGGAAACTTGCCGAGAGCTCTGGGGACTGTTATCTTGGCTTCAAGTGAAAACACACAGACAAGCAGAGATCAACATATACATGCCAACATCATTGCTAGGATGAACTTACTCAAAGCATTATTGGAATTTATGCAACACAGAAGGCTACAGTAGTGTTCATTTAATTGTGAAACTAGTATAAGATCATTCAGAACGTGCTTCCAATAGGACTTTAGCAACAACTGGAAACCGTTCGTTGCGGGGCGGGGGGTGTCCTGAACAAAAGGTCATGTAGCTAGAAAGAATGGTTTGTGAAGGAACAAGAACAAATACTGAATTCCCACAACACTGGAGACAAAAGCATTGTTTGCCTCTTCTGTAACTTTCTGATCCTCCCACTCTCTAGATCTGTATGTCTCTGTCTGCTTTCATATGCTGACTTTTTCCACAGTTGCTTCACTCTGTAGTATTACTCCTGTTTCGTATGCATAATTGTGAATCAGGTTCTTACCAAAAGCACCAAGAGTCCCTAAGATTTACAAAGCTGGGAGTCAATGAGACTTTGATTTCTAAGTTTAGATGAATAATTTCCTCTGCATTTCACTCCCCCTTCCAGCATGGGACAAAGGAAAGAACGGAGCAAAAATGCTGTAGCCTCATTAAATTTTTGGCTTAAGGTAGTTGAATATTTCATTCAATATTTGATTGGTAATCAGTTTTTAAAAATTTCAGTTAGACCTGATTCTTATATATAAATTAAACAGATTACAAAAAGTATCTAAGATCCTTTTTCAAAGCCACACTTGCCTTAATGGAATGTAATTGGTATTGATTAATTGTTAATCAATCTTCTACAAAGTTAAACCCAATTTACATGAGCAGAACTACTAAGGCTGTAAAACCTATGCATTTGTCAGTCATTCTGTTGATAACAGCTGCTATGGTTAATGGGAAAGACTTCAAGATCTTTCCACAGTGATGAAATACAATGACCTACATACTGCATGTGTTGTTTACACTGCTAAAGGTACCACAGAGGACTCGAGTGAATTTTCTTTCTCAACGAGCAGTGGAGGTTGGTCAATAAACATTCAAGGTTGAGTCAGCCAGATTTTAGATTGACAAGGGAGTCAAGAGTTGGGTGGGGGGGGGTGGAAGGGGGAGTCAGGCAAGAAAGTTAAGGCCACAATCAAATCAGCCATGATTTTATTGAATGGTGAGCATCTTCAGGAGATGAAAGAGCCTACTCCTGCTCCTATTTCTATTGGCCTGTAAAATTAACTGAAGGATTTGTAAAAGCAGCACTTTTAGAGTTTTAAAACCAAGGCAGAGTTTTAGAAAAATGGAGGAGTTTAATCATAGACTGTAGGTGCTGACACTGATATTTGTATCGTGAGAGATAATTTTGATTTTCTTCCTTTACAGTCAGGGAACTGCAAGCCTGAGTAGGTTTGGCAGGAAAATACTGGGAGGTCAAATCTGGCAGTAATGCTAGCACAAATGATAATTTCAACAGAAAAGTGAAACAAGTGCAAAGCTGGATGGTGTTGTGGTCAAAATAAGTCTAGAACAATGAAATATGGGGTTTGAAGCTCAGTTCAAGATCTGACAAGATATTGAGTTTATGAACTGATTAATCCATTGGAGTTTCGCTGCTATTGACCTATACTGTAACTTATTCAAGATGACAAAAACGGATTACAACAATATCATTTAATGTAAGACTGTGGGAGGGCGAAAGAGACTAAGTGTGTAAAAGGAGTGAGCATGACATGGAGGTGGACTTGTTTAAAGTAATCAAGTACAATTGAAAGAAAAGGTATGAATGAAATGAAAAACATTAGCAATGGCCAATGGGCTTATTATAATTATTGATACGAATAAGATGATCTGGTATTTCACTGTACTCCTAGAAACTATTACAAGTCAGAGGCAATACTATACAAAAGGTTCACCAGCCGATCAACAATTCAAGTGAAAGTGTAGTGACCAATGATTAGAATTTCTTCCCTCCCATGTACTCAAAAATCAGAAATAAAATACACATCAAGCCATTCTCAACAATATACGTATTTTAAATCAAACACAATTAAATAGGTATGATTTTAGATTAAGTACATGAATACTTATGCATCCGAAAACATAGAAATGGTACATAGTACCAAAAACCTACACACAGCCTTTGTTTGCCTGTTTCTGTGATAATACTCAATCTCAATCTCAATACAATTAGGTAGCATCTGAGTAAATATCTCCATTTATCAGATATCAGCTAGAAACATGAGAGAATTTCAAAAATCTTTACAATACAAAAATCGGAGTTTGTTTTTTCTACTCTGCCGATTTTTTGAACAAAAATCCTGAAGGTATCTAAGGGCTTGACAATAAAACAGACTGCAACAAACCAATGGAGTGCCATTTAGAACACAGCAAAGCTCTATTATAATAGTCACTTCAAATTCTCCCAAAACTATACACCCAGAACCCAGAAAAGAAAATAGCGCTTTGTAATCCTTTGATTTGCAACTCATTGCAGCAACTTCATAAGAAAACCCTTCGTAGTACCCTGACTGGTATTAAAGTCGTTGAAACGTGTGGGGAACTGGAGGCTGGCGATCCTGGAATGCATAGTTTTCTTCATACAAACAACGGAGTAGTATCAGACTGTGTACAGTGTCATTTCATGACTGTGTTAACAGAAAGGAGATGGCTTCTGCTGGACGTGAAGTGAAGCTGTTTGATGAGGAGAGTACATGAACCAATTCTTCTCCTTTTAGTCATAGCTATAATTAGGACAAAGAAAACACAGACAACAATCAACTTGTAGCTTGCAAAAAAAGCATGCAATGCCTTCAGGAAACAAAGCAAAAATGTTGAATAATTTTCATTGCAACTGTAATCTAACATATACAATATGTAGGAACAGCTATTCAATGCTACGTGTACTTTCATAACACTATACATTTAGTCCATTGGTCATAGTCCATTACCCTGCATACAGTCGAGGAAGTCAACTGAAGTGACTGCAACAAAACCAGAGCGCCCTTAGAACTCGCAACGCCCTTGTTTAATAGTCACTTCAAAATATTCTCAAAGCATACAACTAGAATAAAAAAAAAATTCTTAAAACTTTCTAAAACCATTACTGATTTTTTCCTCCTGTTCTTTGTCCATCATCCGAGTTTCACCCAATTGCTGCTCCAAATGGTAATATTACTGCAAAAACCCTTCCTCTACTTTCAGCCCTTTTTGTATCTCCAAGCCTTGCCAACATGTAATATTCGTGCGATCAGATGGACCGTTAGACCGAGGAATGGCAGTTGGAGTTTAATTTAAATAATTGTAAGGTGTTGCATTTTGATAGGGCAAATCAGGGCAGGACTTATGACTTAATGATAGGGTCCTCGGGAGAGTTGCTGAACAGAGAGACCTTGGGATGCAGGGTTGTAGTTCCTTGAAAGTGAAACCAGAGTTGACAGGTTAGTGAAGGCCGTGTTTGGTACACTTGCCTTTATTAGTCAGTGCATAGATTATACGAGTTGGGATGTCATATTGCAGCTGTACAGGGCATTGGTGAGGCCACTTTTAGAACACTGCGTTCAATTCTGGTCTCCCTGCTATCAGAAAGATATTGTTAAACTTGAAAGGCTGCAGAAAAGATTTACAAGTATGTTGCCGGGGTTGGAGGGTTTGAGTTATAGGGAGAGGCTGAATAGGCTGGGGCTATTTTCCCTGGAGTGTCAGAGGTTGAGGGGTGATCTTGTAGAGGTTTATAAAATCATGAGGGGCATTGGTGAATAACCCAGGTCTTTTTCCCAGGGTAGGAGAGTCCAAAACTAGAGGAGATAGGTTTAAGGTGAGAGGGAAAAGATTTAAAAAGGAACCTAAGGGCCAATGTTTTCACACAGAGGGTGGTGCGTGTACAGAATGAGTTGCCAGAGGAAGGAGAGGAGGCTAGTACAATTACAACATTTAAAAGACATCTAGGTAGTTACAAAAATAGGAAAGGTTTAGAGGGATATGGGCCAAGTGCTGGCAAATCAGACTGGATTAAGTTAGGATATTTGGTCAGCATGGATGAGTTGGACCGAAGGGTCTGTTTCTGTGCTGTACTGCTCTATGACTATGAGTCTATTCATGGTCCTTCACCACAACTGTTGTGCCCAATGATTCAGTCACAAGATACACCACACAATCTCAACAGTTTTCTGAGATAGTTGCTGTAGATAACAGCACTGTTCTACAACAGACAGGAAAAAAAAAAATCACACTTGCACCAGATCTTTGGCTGCTTCTGTTCACTGCACCCTAGGGAACTCTCGTGACTGCTCAAGATTCACTTTTGCAGTTTAAGTAGTCATGTGAAATCCTTGAGATCCACTGCAGGCGCTGAACTCATGCTATTCTTGTTTGCATAGCTGTTGTGAAAGCAGGTGTTGCATTTAATAGCTGAAGCATGGTATTAAAACAACAGCTGCATCAAGAATCTCAATTTGCCATAATCAGCAGCCATTGAAAACAAGATTAAAAATTGTCTGGCAGGATCTTTTCCGATTGTTTTCTGCTTCTCTTATTTCACACAATGCATGAGATGAAGCTCTAAACAGACAACACATCCTTTGTTCATCTGCTTTTTCTTCATTTTTAAAACAGAAGTACAGACTGTACGATACAATTCTGTTGTAATATTACTTTCCAAATGCATTTAGAAAAAAATGCAGGATCAGTGTTGGAATTGTTTGGACGTACTTTGTATCTCACATACAAAATTAACAAGTACAAAATTGTTGGTTGTATGTTGATCAAATATAGACTGACTGGACACAAAAAAAGGATAGATGTTTAAAACCAAGCTTAAAACAACAAATTACATTTTCAGCTTCTCTGTGGAAGAAACTTTATTACTAAAGTAGAGGAAAGTTAGTCAATTTCCTACAGCAACAGCGTCAGTCTGACAAAGATAGTCAATTCCTAGGAACAAACTGATTAATCCATTAAATCTTGCCAAAGATTGAGTGGGGAAAAAATGTTCCATTGAGATATTTGATACATATTCAACTATTCATAAACTTAGAGCAAACATCTCAGCCTGCTTTGAGATAGACAGATCATTGATCTTTCATACTAATAATTCATTTCTCTATGTAATGCTAGCCAATAATTCCATCAGTAGTTTGTGAGAAACAAAATTCTCTTGCAATAAATGCATTCAGATTCATTTCAGCAACATTTAAGAGGATTTGGCTGACTGAACTCAGCTGCTACAAAATGCTTTTCTTAGTCTGCACATCTGCTGGCATCTTCAAATTTTCTCTATCTCCTTACACAATATAGACAAAATGGATATTATATTTAGTCCTAATTCCCTCCCTCAACCCATTGTCAGCACAGGCCTTCCCTGTTTAATGCATGCTTTAACATCGTGACTTCATTTGAGTGCAGTTTCAGATTAGGGAACGTTCTGCAAATAGCTTTATTTACATTTTTGTTTTAGCACAGTTATGGAATACACTTAAGTCTTTTTTAAAAGCAAACACTTGCCTCCCAGTCACCGTTTCCCTTCCAACGCCTCCCATGCTGCCCCTCTTGCATTCCTCCTCACTGTAAGCAGGAAGGTTGGAAAAGCAGTGCTGCCAAGGAGCTGCCAAGGGGCAGCACGGTGCTCAGTGGTTAGCATTGCTACTTTACAGCGCCAGGGTCCTAGGTTTGATTCCAGGCTCAGGTGACTGTCTGTGTGGAGTTTGCACATTCTCCTTGTGTCTGCATGGGTTTCCTTCAGCTGCTCCAGTTTCTTCCCACAGTCCAAAGATAGGCAAATTAGGTGACTGGCCAGGCTAAATTGCCCATAGTATCCAGAGTTATGCAGGCTGGGTGGATTAGCCATGGGAAATGTGGTGTTACAGTGATAGGGTTGGGGGGTGGGTCTGGGTCAGATGCTCTTCGGAGGGTTGGTGTGGACATGATGAGCTAAATGGCCTGCTTTCACACTGTTGGGATTCCATGATTCTAAGTTTGAAGTTAGGGAGAGTTTTAGAAACCAGTAAAGGGTGACTGAAAAATGATTGCGGAAGAAATAGACAATAGTAAACAAAAAGGGAAATATAAAAGAGATTGAGATCTTGTACAAATAGCAAAACAATTGTGAAAGTAAAATGTAGAACCTTTGAAAGTTGAGATAGAAGAAATTATAAGGGGGAATAAGAATAGGTCAAAGATGTTCAACAAATATGTTGTGTCTGACACAGTAGAAGAGACAAAGAGTGGGGAGCCAGTGATCTAATAGGAGGAATTCAAAGGCTTCAAACTCAAACATCTTCTGCAAATGTTCTCCCAAAAGATACACATCAGGACCCCTTGCAAGTTCTGACACACCAATTATGAGGTAATTATCTGGGAAGTTTAAACTTCCAGTGAGCACTTACCCCACACTTGTAGACCTTTGGAAAAATCTCCAACCTTTTATAGCACTAGCTGTTGTATTCCAACTCAGTCAGAGATTTTACAAGATTCCATCTCATTTACCCAGATAGATCCCCAGGAAGAGACAGACAGTTTAAAACCATGAATAACTTCTATGTAACTCAACAACTAAAATCTCCCTAATGGAACCTCAACTCTCCATCTCAGACTCCTCTTTGATCCTCCGCCAACTATCCTGCCTATATCTCTTATACTCATCCACCCACCTGCTTAACTTCTCTCCTTGGCATCTCAAAGAGGTTTTGGATATTTAAACTGTTAATTTCTTTGGGAATATAGCAAGTAGTGTCATAAGAGGAGGAAGTGGCTTTTGCAAAAGTTTGCCACCTTCATTGTGAAGATTCTTGTGGTGGGCAAGTTCCGCAGAATCCACTAATAGGAGTCGGCACAAAGAAATTGCAGGTTAAAGAAAAACTAAGTAACTTTCGCCTAAAATCCTAGAACTGACCCAGATCGGAAAACTTGGGCCAAGCGAAAAATACTAATTACAAATTTCTGGAGAAGTTATTGGTCTATAAGTTGAAAAATCTCCTGCACCCAATGGCGTAGAACTAGAGTTCTAAAAGATGTGGCTGCAGAGATAGTGTATGCACTGGTTGTGATTTTTCAAAATTTCTTAGAATCGGAATTATTCCAGTGGATTGCAATAAAGCAACATAGCATTGCAACTCCAGAAAGGTGGGGAGAGAGAAAACAGAACCACATCAGTTGTAGGAAAAATGTTGGAATCCATTAGTAAGTAGAATTAACAAGTACTTAGAAAATCATATGATTAGACAATGTCAGCGGTTTTAGGAAAGGGCAATGATCAGTGACAAACTTATCGGAGCTTTTTTTTAAAAAAAAGGATATACCTAACAAGATGGAAAAAGGGGAACCAGTGGAAATAACATATTTGGATTATTAAAAGGTATTAACTGCCACAGGAAAGATAAGGGCTCCTGGGTTTTGAGGTATTAGTATGGGCAGATGATTGATTAATGAACAAACAATAAGAATAAATGGGCCATTTTTAAATTGATGAGGTGGTGCTGGTGTTGGACTGGGGCAGATAAGGTCAGAAGTCACATGACACCAGATTACTGTCCAACATGTTTGTTTATTTGAAATCACAAGCTTTCGGAGCGCTGCTCCTTCGTCGGGTGAGGTGGCTCCACCTGACAACAGAGTAGCACTCCGAAAGCTTGCGATTTCAAACAAACCTGTTGGACTATAACCTGGTATCGTGGAACTTCTGACATTTTTAAAGTAGTCAGCTCTTATTAGTGCAGTCACGCAAGCATCTCATTGGGACATCAGCTTACAATGATTAAGATGGAGGGATTGTGTGGAACATCTCTAATTGGAGACAACATGAAACTAGATAGGCAAGTTAGTATTGAGAACTATGCAAAATATTTTAAAACATATAGTCTAGTTTTTGGGCAAGAAGTTAGAACATAATGCAAGAAAATGTGGCAAATTTCATCTTGGTAGGATACATAAAACAATATTTTTCTACACGGCGTAAAACTATTAAATGTGGGTGTCCTCCCAGACAAAACACCTGACAGTATAATGTATATTACCTTACCCAAGACAGGATGCATGTGTTTTTTTTTGAAGGGGTGGGGCATGCAGTGAAATTTCTTTAGATTATTTCCTCAGATGTGCAAACTGTCTTTGTAGAATGATTGAAGAGAATTGGCCACTGTTCTTTATTGCTTAGAAGAATGGGATCAATCTCGTCAAGACCTGGGGACACTAATTCTCCCCTAGCTGCCGTCTAGAAATGGGAGGGGAGGTGGTGGATGGTTTCAGGATAAGAAGTTGACCATTTAGGACTGAGATGAGGTGAAATTTGTTCAAAGAGTTGTGAATCTTGGGAATTTTCTACCCAGAGAACTGATGGCATTCAGTCGTTTAGCTTATTCAAGACAAAACTGATAGACGTTTTGGTCTCCAACAAAGTCAAGGGATAGAAGCATTGGACAGGAAAGTGCAGTTGAGTTTGAAGACTGGCCATGACACTAGCGAATGACAAAGCAGACTCAAGGGGCCTTCTGGTTCTCTCCTGCTCATATTTCTTGACTTTATTGTTTAATCTCTTCATCATCTCCCCATCTTCCTTTTATCCTGCTTCTGTACTTGCTTAAAAACTTATATATTTCAATCACTTCCTGGTTCAGATAAGAGGACATCGACCTAATACATTACTTCCATTTCTTCCTCTAAAGATGCAGTTTGTCCTGTTCAACATTTTAACTGTTTCCAGTTTTTATTTCAAATTTCCAATACTTTTTTTCTGTATTAACAACAGATAGAATTGAAGGCAGGTGGAGTAAAAGACTGGGGGGGTGGGGGGGGGGGGGGGGGGTGGTGGTGCTACGACAAAAGGTACCCACAAGGCTGAGTGTGTGTGTGAAGGCAGGAAAAAGGAAAATAGATGATAGAGAGACAGAGAAAAGACAGCAATAAAAGGTTCCTGCCAGTGTTTTGTTTAGAAAAAAGTCTATCAATGTAGCTTTATAGAGTCATAGTGTAATACAGCATAGAAACAGGCCCTTTGGCCCAAACTGGTCCATGCTGGCCATGGTCCCCACTCAGCTCATTCCAATTGCCTGCATTTGGTCCATATCCCTCTAAACCCTTCCCATCCTTGTATCTATCCAAATGATTTTTTAAAATGTTGCTATTGTACCTGCCTCAACCACTTTCTCTGGCAGCCCATTCCACATACGCACCACTCTCTGCGTGAAAAGAAGTTTCCCCTCAGATCCTCCTCCAATCTTTCCCCTCTCACCTTAAACCTGCACTCTCTAGTTTTCAATTCCACATCCTTGGGAAAATACCATATGCATTCATCCTTTCCATACCCCTCATGATTTTATACACCTCAATAAGGTCACCCCTCATTTTCCTACGTTCCAAGGAATAAAGTCCTTTCCTGGCCAACCTCTCCCTATAACATAGGCCTACTGGTCCTGGCAACATCCTCATAAATCTTCCTTGCACACTTTTCCAGTTTAATTATGTCTTCCCTATAACAGGGTGACCAAAACTGCACACAATGCTCCATGTGCGACCTTACCAACAACTTATACAACTGTAACGCAACATCCCAACTCCTACACTCAATGCCTTGACCGATGAAGGCCAGCTGCTAAACGCCTTCTTCACCACCCTGTTTACCTGTGATGCTGCTTACAACGAACTACGTACTTGTACTTCTAGGTCCCTCCGCTCCACAACACTCCTCAGGACCTTACCACTTACTGTATATGTCTGATGTTGGTTTGACTTTCCAAAGTGCAGCACCTCACACTTATCTGTATTGAATTGCATTTGCCAATCCTCAGCCCACTTCCCCATCTGATCAAGACCCTTCTGTAATTTTAGTTGCACCAACTGCCTAAAATTCACAAACCATTGAATGTTGATTATTTGTTACCATTTTCAACACTCATACCCGGGATGTGAAAAATGAGCACTTACCTGAGACACACAAATGTTTTCTTTACATTCTGGTCCACTGTGAACAACACAACATGTTATTTCAGCAGTTCTTAACAGTAATATTGTTAAAGATGTAGCGTTTCAGCAGCACTAATTCATTACCTTTGTGGACTTTGCGACGAGTGGCTCACTTTGTGCTTGTTGTACAACGTCATTGACTATCATCTTGGCGATCCGCCATGCCATCTCTTCCTGTGCCTAAAACAGAAACAACTTCAAATCTTATATTGTTACATGGCTGGTGAATGGATAAAACTCTATTTTAACGCAATTAATTCTCTAGTTTCAAAAAACAAAAGTTGCTGGAAAAGCTCAGCAGGTCTGGTAGCATCTGTGAAGAAAAAATGTCAGAGTTTCTCTAGTTTCATCACTTTCATTTTACCCTCCCTTTTGTGAATTTTTAAAAAATACATATATTCATGGGATGTGGGCTTCTCTGGCTGGGCCAGTGTTTATTGCCCTTCCCTTGTGCCCCTTGAGAAGGAACTGGTCAGCTATCTTCTTGAACTGCTATAGTCTATTTGGTGTAAATACATCTACAACGCTTCTAGGGAGGGAGTTCCCGGATTCTGTAACAGAGCCATCACACCCATCTTGATGATGTGAAACATTGCACAATGGAGGGGAATTCGATGCAGTTTCCCAACAGCATTCAAATTGGAGGGAAGGGAAGGGAAGGGAGGTTAGCCATTACTATTGCACATATAGCAGCTTTGGAATCTAACTGGATCTGGAGGTATATAATCTAAATTATGGATCATATATCTAGGAGGTGAAAGCCAATGATACAAGTTGTGCACACAATTATGATCACTTTTAAATATTAGAATCTGACCAACAAGATCTGGGATCAGAAAGGTGAAAAATAAATATTGACCAAGTATTCAAAATTCTTAAGGGAAAGATAAATTGAACCATGAAAATGTGCAACAAACTTCTTATTAACTGGCACCTATGGTTTAGCTGGTAGCACTCAACTGAGTCAGAACTTTAGGGGCTCCAGACACACACTAAATTTAAACTTCAATACAATACCAGTTCAAGTGATTTAGATTGACGGTTAAAGATCCCTCAGCAATATCTGAAGTGGAAGGACTGCCCTCAGCCAACATCATAAAACAGATTTCGTAATCATTCACCTAATTGTTGCTTGTGGATTTTACTGTGCACATTATAACCATTGTGTTTACCCAATAATAAACAGCATCTGCACAAATTAATTCATTGAATGCAAATTGCTTTGGGAAATACTACAAGTGCTAATTCCCACTTTTCTTCACTTAGAATGAATGTTGTTTCCTATCTAAAGAAAATTACTCACTAAGATTTCTATGGAAGCATCACCCACCGGCCTGACACCCTCTGTATATGCACTGGTTGTGCAGGGTACAGTTACCTCCCCAAGTTTAATTGAGTGGATATGGAGAAGGGTTAAATGATGACTAATTCAATTCTGCCATAATATTCAACAGTTACGATCAAATATGATCGAATAAATTTGGGTATTCATAGAAAATATTTTTGATTAGTTCACTATTGAGAAGAGGAGAAAAATAAAAGACAGAGGCATAATTTATAAAAGGAAAATCAGAATCCAACACAAAATTAACACCAGTGGCAGATTCATTTATAACGTCACAAAGCACCTCAGGGAGAAGGATAGGAGGTTATGCCGAAAGGGAAATATTGACAGGTTGGATGCAAGTTCAAAACACAGAATGGAGATGAGGATTTTATGAGAAGATGGAAATGACATAGGCTGATATTAAACATGAACAGTAAATGGAGACCAATGCCCATGGGCTGTTGTGTGTTAATCACAGCTATAAGTAAATGTGGTACTAGTTAATTCTGACACGGATCATAAAAGTACAGAAAATACCAATCATGTTTGAAAACAATCTGGAATTTTCTGTAGCTAGAGACTAGAATTAATTAAATTCATGCAACAAATGTGGTACAAATGAAAAACAAAATCAACGTGCACTGATCCCTAGTGACCTCTTCAAAAACATTAGAAGTTGCAGGAATGGGAAAGATCATTTCGTCTATATAGTCACACTAGTTTGCTGGCCATATTTGACAGATGAATGGGTTGGCTTTTCTGACTGTGCTGTTAAAGTAGATGAGCTCTTTCCTGCAGCATTGCGTGGCCAAGCAAGGTGTCTGTTCATTGCAATACAAATTATTTTTGATTTCCAATTTTGAACTCATGGAATTAGGAGACTTCTATATTTTTAATGGACAAGATAATCAGAGGAACGTACAAAGGTCATGTCCATGTCAGTGTAGCAGTAAGACTATATCCATAATTGCTTAGTAGCATTGAACTTAAGCATTGCTAAAAGGAAACACAAAGTCTATCAAGACTGGAAGGCAAGAAACTGATCATTGAAAAGGAACGCCAATGTATGCTTGAGGAGAGGGTTTGACTGGTTGGACCATGGTTGGCATAGACCTGCAGCTGGACTCTGACATTGGGAATACAACATAGACTGGAAGTCTGATACACTCCATCAATGAGAAAGGTACTACATTTGCTCAAACTCCTGCCTATTTGGAACAGTAACCATGTACCACTTCTGTCGCACACAAATGAAACACATTGAGCCCAAATGATTATCTTAAATGGCTTCCATTGTAATTCTTAGCACAATTAGGATTATTTAGTAAATGCTGTTCAACAGTAGAATCACATCTAGTGCCAGATACTATGTTCAGAGTTTTGAGAGAATGGTTGTGAGCACGCTGACCATTTTGGACGGTTAAAGGCACGTGTGTTTGATCCGACAGTGAGACCTGCATACTACATTACACATTTGTCTCATAGTCAGAAAATTTTTGGTGTGATAGCAGTAACTCATTAGTGGAGAGTAGCAGTGTGAGATGTTTAGCTAACCGGAGTCAACCCGCCTGGTTTGAAATTAATCAGCTAGCTAAGATCGACAGTTCACAGATCCTGCTACACTGGCATGGCAACCATGATCCAACCAATTGGCACCCTATTCCCACGCTGTATAAATTGGTGTTCCCTTCTGAAGTTTGGTTTCTTACATCCCAGTCCTGTTAAATGCAAGACTAAAAGCTTGTGTCTCTTTTTAGACATGTTATGATTACATTACTGTCAATGAAAATTATTGTGCTTGTCACATTTTCTGATGTGAGGATGAACTGTTGACTTCTACTGGAAGTGTAAGATGATGCAAGGGATGTGGAAGAGTCTACAAACACTGTAGAAAGTGATAATCTTGTGACACTTTACCATCATCACCTTAAACATTCCAACCAAACCGAGAATTGCTTTGCAAATTATAAATCACTGATGTTTCAGACTAAAGGATGACCCAATTTTAAAAACTCAGTCAAAATAAAATATTTACCTCATCCGTGCTCCCTTGTACCCATTTTTTCATGGCCTGTGAAAACATGGAACCTGTTTGATACAATATAAAAATAGGTTTTAAAAAAATAAATTTTGAATAGGAGTGCGTAGAATCCCTCTGGTTATAGTTTCCAGAAAGATAACATAAGCCTGTTTACAAGGTGGTAAGATGATGGTCGAGATTTTAAAATAGTAATGCTGTTGTTTTTATGCTCCATTTAGCACAGTTGCTGATGCCAGTGACGATTACAGATTGTTAATTGCAATGATCCACTGGGTGAGCCTTTAATCTCCACCAGTTCTGTCAAGGGAAAGTAACAATTCATGGGAGAGGAGAAAGGACAAGAAGTGAGCAAAAAGCAAATCGTGGCTGGTTCAAGGCCAGTAATCATTAACATTGACTTTCTACATTTTTTTGTTTCCATGTCTCCATTCCTTTCCTTCCGAGGTCATCTTGCACAGTATATTGAACAAGTTAATGGTCAGCCATTGTGTTTGTGAAGTACTACACAAACCACGTTGCTAGACTGTAAATATTCACAAGGTTTCCTTATATCAGATCTGAAGAATACCGTAAGAACTTACATTTATATGGTGCCTTTAAATGTAGTGATACGTCCCAAGGCATGTCACTGGAGTGTAATTCAGACAAAAACGGACACCGAGTCAATGACTGAAAAACAGCTCGAACATCTCTCAAATATAAACAATGTGGGTGAACACTTACCTTTTGACTTTTTTACATCAGGCTCTGGTTCAGACTCTCTTATAAACTGGCCAAGTTCATTTATCTTCCCAAATGTCATTCTCCTACCAAATAAATCAAGAACAATTTTGACACAATTGACAAAATTAAAACAATTTAGTGCTCCCTCAAATTTTGTGTTATGTGCCATAGTCTGGAATGACACAGCTCTCTATTAGAAATGGAAGTCCCTGTAAGGTAACGAGTTAGTCTAAGTGCAAACCAAATTGAATAGATGGGAGAAACATGATCTATGGTATGGCTGGTGGGGAATGCTAAATGTAATCGAAGTTAATAAATGTACTGAGCTATAAGAAGAATAGATAAAATTGATGAAACTGCTATGATTTTTTTTAAAAAAGTGCCTCTAACTGTAGCGGGTTCCAAGCTTTTGTTTAATAATACAGAACTCAGTGACGTCCGAATGAGCCCAAGGACATTACCGTTTACCATGCCCAGCAACAAGAGCTTTTAAAGGAGAACTTTTGAGTTGAATCACAAGCAATTGTAAACCATTAGAGTGGAATGGTTTTGCAGTTTACAGCATTCGGCTCTAAAAGAGTGAAAGCAATTGGCATTTTTGTCAAATTAAGTGCTACATATTAAAAAAAAAAGCACAATTTCAGTTAGTCTTGGTATCATAATGTAAATGTTTGTGTTTTTTTAAAATGATCTGGAAGTTTGTGTTTTTTGTCCCAAATCCTCTCTGGACATGTATTACAAAACAGCTGTATAGCAGACAAGACAAGACCTGCTGGCTCATTCAGCCTATTCCACATTAATGTGACGCCTTGTGCATAACAATACATATATTCCCCCAATCCACCAAGTAACGTGCAATTTCCTGGGAGGTACAGAAAACAAAAACAAGACAATTAGGGAAATATAACCTGTGTCTTCCGCTGCATGAAGAAGCTTAATGTACCTAATAGTGCAGCTAACAACTTTTCTATTGCACCCTGATGTAAATTTAGCAAGTGTTCAGTGACAAGACTAACAGAGAACATGAGCTTTCCAACTTAAGTATTTCCAAAATTGGTGTAACTCACCCTGCAAAAGTCCTGTGATACAAAGATTCTGGTTCTAGACTTGCAGCATCAACGACTATTGCTTCATCAAAGTTTTTCAGGATTTTTACTGTGGCCTTTCTGGTGCCGTGCTATTTAAAAGAGGTTAATATCAATGTTGATACAAAAACAAAGTTATACTGCTTACATTTATCCTGGTCAAGCTGCGGGCAGTAGGGAGTGTGCATGAAGTATCAAAGAATCACAGGATGGTAATAACAGTTTGAGGCAGCTCTCTGCAAGAACAATTTAACTAGTTCCATGCCTCTGCCCTTTGACTGCAGCCCTTTCACTACCTTCGAGTAATTATTTAATTCCGTTTTGAAAGCCACAATTGAATTTGCCTTCAAAAGCTTTTCAGGCACCAAAATTTTAGATATCATCCCCAACATTTGCTCATGGCATCTTTGCTTCTATTGTCATTCATTGTAACTTAGTGACCTACGGTATTCAACCCTTCCACTAATGGGAACAGTTTGTTTTCATCTATATGTATGGACGGTCATCATTTTGAGCACCACTCTCAACCTTTGCTTCTCTAAGATGACAGACAGCAACTCCAATCTAAGCATTTGAAGTCCTTCATCCTTGGAACCATTCTCCATTCTTCTTCCCACCTTCCTTAATACCTTCACATCCTTTCTGACATGTGGTGCCCAGAATTAGACAACACTCCATAGTCTCTACAGTGTAGAAACAGGCCATCCGGCCCAACAAGTCCACACTGACCCTCCGAACAGCATCACACACAGACCCACCATCCACCCAATATTTCCAATAGCTAACACATCTAACCTACAAACCCCTGGTCACTATGGAGCAATTTAGCATGGCCAATCCACCTGACTTGCACATCTTTGGACTGTGGAAGAAACCGGAGCACCCGGAGGAAACCCACGCAGACCCAGGGAGAACGTAAAAAATCCACAGTCACCCGAGGGTGGAATCGAACCCAGGACCCTGGCGCTGTCAGGCAGCAGTGCTAACCACTGAGCCACTGTGCCACTCTACTGATGCTGAGCGAGCGTTTCATGAAAGGTTCACCATAATTTCCTTGCTTTTGTATTTATAAAGACCACAATCCTGTATGTTTTATTTTTAAAATCACTTCCTCAAACTTTTTCAATAATTTGCGCACAGATTACCTCAGGCCTCTCTGTTCCTATGCTTCCTTTCGTATGGTAGCTTTTAGTTTACATTAGATCTTCTTGGTCTTTCCATTAATATGCATCACCACAAACTTCTCTGCATTAAAATTCATGTCACAAATCTACCCATTCCACCAGATGATCGATGTCCTCTTCAAATTTAACTCTTCCCTTCCTACAGTTTACATCTAACTTTTGTGTCATCCGAAATTAAATGTTACAGCAGATAATAAATGCCTAAAGTTGCATGGGAGAATATAAATTGAATCAGAGATAGTAGGAACTGCAGATGCTGGAGAATCCGAGACAACAAGGTGCAGGGCTGGACGAACACAGCAGGCCAAGCAGCATCACAGGAGCAGAGAGGCTGACGTTTCGGGCCTAGACCCTTCATCAGAAAAGGGGGAGGGGAAGGGGGTTCCCAAATAAATAGGGAGAGAGTGGGAGGCGGATAGAAGAGGGATAGAGGAGAGGATAGGTGGAGAGTAAACAAACAGGTCGAAGAGGCGGGGATGGAGCCAGTAAAGGTGAGTGTAGGTAGGGAGTTAGGAAGGGGATAGGTCAGTCCAGGGAGGACGGACAGGTCAAGGGGGCGGGATGAGATTGGTCGGTAGGAGATGGAGGTGCGGCTTGAGGTGGGAGGAGGGGATAGGTGGGAGGAAGAACAGGTTAGGGAGGCAGGGACGAGCTGGACTGGTTTTGGGATGCGGTAGGGGGAGGGGAGATTTTGAAACTTGTGAAATCCACATGGGAACCCTGCAGCCCAATGGTATCAAAGCGGAATATGAGTTGCTGTTCCTGCAACCTTCGGGTGGCATTGTTGTGGCACTGCAGGAGGCCCAGGATGGACATGTCGTCTGAGGAATGGGAGGGGGAGTTGAAATGGTTCGCACTGGGAGGTGGAGTTGTTTATTGTGAACCGAGCGTAGGTGTTCTGCAAAGCGGTCCCCAAGCCTCCGCTTGGTTTCCCCGATGTAGAAGAAGCCACACCGGGTACAGCGGATGCAGTATACCACATTAGCAGATGTGCAGGTGAACATCTGCTTGATGTGGAAAGTCTTCTTGGGGCCTGGGATGGGGGTGAGGGAGGAGGTATGGGGGCAGGTGTAGCACTTCCTGTGGTTGCAGGGAAAAGTGCCGGGTGTGGTGGAGCTGGAGGGGAGTGTGGAGCGGACAAGGGAGTCACGGAGATAGTTGTCCCTCCGGAAAGCAGATAAGGGTGGGGAAGGAAAGATGTGTTTGGTGGTGGGGTCGGATTGCAGATGGCGGAAGTGTCGGAGGATGATGCGTTGGATCCGGAGGTTGGTGGGGTGGTACGTGAGGACGAGGGGGATTCTTTTTTGGTTCTTATTGCGTGGACGGGGTGTGAGGGATGAGGTGCGGGAGATGTGGGAGACACGGTTGAGGGCGTTCTCGACCACCGAGG